ACGTCAGGCTCTTTTGGCCTTCCAAAATGAATGAATGCATTATTAAACGGTAACGTGAGAATTTGAGTGAGCTTGAATTATGTTTCACAAGTCTGGTTATGGATTTTATGCATTGGGCATGCCTTTTAGCTTTGTCTGTGCATGTATATGTGTGTGACTCAGATATACTAAAGATATATTTTCTGTTTCTTGTTCTTTTTCTAATGTTTGATGATGAAAACAGTTATATGGCCCCTATACATATTGAAAAGAAACACAATAACCATACTTTTATTTTGGGAAACCAAAACTGAATATTAACCAACGAGTATCTAGCTATCACATAAAAGAAATTTCAGGTCAGATTCATGGAATGCCCATTGTATTTTTCGTGTTACTCTCGATAATTTATTAAAACAATGAAACAAAAAGAGATCACCTCACAAGCATGAGCACCCCACAAGAAAACACGCAACCGAAATTGTGGAAGGCCATAACAACCAGCAGCAAGTATTCCCAGCCTCGCTTGGTACTTCATATCCACCAAACGACTAAGTGCATATCTTCCCAGAGAAGCTTTGTCAAATCTCAAAATGTCAACAACATCTTCCATCAGCACAAACTTTGGCTTCAAGAAGTTTACAATATCCATGAAGACTACAATTTGATGATTCCTCTCATCATCCAATGGAGAAACAACGTTTCTATAGCGATTATAGCCACTAATTCCTTGGCAAGGAGGGCCCCCACATATTACATCAACATCTCCCTGAAATTGTACATATCTATTTAGGATTCGGATAGCGCAACACAAGATCAATATATATGGTCCTACTTTAGCTGGTTCAATCAGTTACTACTTACTGGAAGTGGCAAAATTTTCACTTTCTTCCCATTTCTTACAAAATCCTGTATACTTTCTTGGCAGTTACTGAGAAGATACAAAAAGAATTAGTGCTGATGCGGAAATACATATTCATAATCATATCATAAGAAGTGGTATACCTTAAGCCTTCAATTGGTTCCCATGTATCTTCACTGCTACCATAACCTTTCCAATGCACCTAGAAAAACAATACAATTAAATATTTATTATGATAAATAATTCTGTAGAGAAACGAGATAATATTAAGAGTGAATGAGGAATTCACAGTCGAATTGCATGGAGCAAAAATAACGACAACAACTATGAAAAAGCGGCAACTCCTAAACTAAAAGCGAATTTAACACTAAAATCCTCTGTACCTAATGTAAGAAATCATGTAAGGTTTTCCGACCCAACTCACACATAGATTGCCTTACATAGTAACACACAAGTTTTGTAAGTAGCAGTAACAAAACAGTAGCTAAACCACTTTGTTTTATGCTTCAGGAATTTCAATAATAACCAGAGGATATGATGATATGCTATGAGTGCACAAAATCTTTTGCATCCCTCAATGACATTGTAGATATTGTCATCAGACATCTTAGAAGCATTTTTGTTTTACCTTAAAGTTCACTCCATGCTTGCCTGTCTTATTAGGATCACCAAAGCAGACATCAACAATCCTCGAAACTTCATATTCACCAGTACCAACCTCATTACTATTCTTTGGTACACTTGAAGTCTTTGATCTTAATGGATGAGTTCTTTCGACATCGCTGGCCTTATGCCTTCTGCATAACTTTTCCCATTCCTTCAACAGTTGTAGAAAATCCTCAGCAGTTTCATTCCTGACCTACAAAAAAAAGCATAGAATTATTCTGTAATGTCATTGTAGGGTAAATTGGCTATTACAATAGAGGTGAACAATCCCCAACATTCTTTTTGATTGGCACCAACCGTATGACCAAAAAACTTCCAGCACCCTGAAGCCCGAGGAGTTCTTCCACATACATAGCTACTGGCAAAAAAATTTAGGGAATCACCCAACTTGCATGAGCTGTAACGTAAAGGGAGAATGAAGAGAAATGCGATCTGCACTTTCTTCACCAGCCTCAGAAAGAATGCAGCACTGAGGGTTAACTTTCCCTTTACCCAATAAATGTAAAAGAATTTGTATCTTAGGAGACTTTTTCCTTCCAAATCTGATCAATAGGTTTAAAGCATGACAATGCACATTCATTGCATTAAACAAAGCATGTACATGTTTCTAAAACTTTCTAATTAGTAGTTGCCCTACCCCCTCCCTCGTTTTTTTGGGCTGGATAAGTAGTATAATCCAATCTTATGGTATACCACACCAAACATTGCATCATATTGAAAGTATCATATCAAGTCTATTCCAACTATTGAGCAAAGCAAATCTAAATAAATCATGCGCAAAAAAAAAATAGGACCAAATACATAAACCTATCATTGGCACTGTATAATCCACTAACCAGAGATGAAGGAGCGAAATGTGGAATAGTCCACACAGTATTCCATATCATAGTAGAAGTCAGACCGCGAAATGGAGTTCACTTTTAACCCTACCTGAAAAAGTCAAAAGATTAGTACTTCACTAATATAATATACAGCATGTGTTCGGCAAAATGGCAAGATACAAAAAATCATTAACAGAAGTCAATTGTTAAACAGTAGAATTCAAGATTTAATAATACCTTAGGGGATATATGTGTAACATTGACTTTTGAAATAATGCAATCTATCAAATTATCGTTCATTACAGTAGAATAGAATAAACGCCTCTTGTCATGAGAAGTCCCTGCTTCTTTGATAACCTGAGAAACAAATAGAAAAACCAAAGAATGGTTAGTGGGATATACCTTACCATGGGTCCGTACTCAACAATTTCAGAAACTCACCGTATCTTCAACTTTATAAAACCACTGGACTCTGAAATATTTTTCTCCATCAGCTGTCTTGAAAAATTCTATGATCCTTCCCACATGCTTTTGTCCTTCATCACCCTGTAAAAATTAACTTAACATTTATTTCAAATGCTCGTCGGAATGCAACTAAAACTACATAATACCATGCATGAGCTCTCCAGGATAGGTCCAAACAAACTATAAGTCTGTAACTAACACTACTCTGAAGAGTTAAGGTCCTATTTGATGTTTTCCATACATCATACATCCAACAAACCTTCCAAAATAAGACTATGTATCAATATTCAATACACCTATAACTCCAGATCAATGTTTTAAAAGGCTCGCCTCAGGGCGCGCCTAGGTGCCCTGTGAGGTTGGGCTTGAGGGTTGCCTTCTTTGTTTTGAGGGAGTGGGCGGAAGGCGCCGCTGGAGCCTCCTAGGTGCGCCTCAGGGGATTTTTTTTTTTTTTTTTTTTTTTTAACACTCCCAAACCCAAATTTTGGGTAGGGTTTTAACTGTCTCATACCTCTTCCTTGCACTATCATCTCTCTGCCTTTTTTTTTCTAATTTTTATTTTCTTATATAATGGATGTGTGTGTTGTTTACGTGCATTGTTATATGTGTGCTCATTGTGCTTTTCATCCTCTATTTTATATATATATATATATATATATATATAATATAATATAATATAAGTATATACATGTGTGTATATGTATTTATAATATATGTGTGTCCTCCGGGTGATTATTGATTAATACTCTTTTTTTTTTTTTTAATGTAATATATCTGTACGCTCAGTGTATATATTAAAAATTTTAGGTCCCGTGAGGCTTCGCCTCACGCCTAGGCTAGGCTATCCCTTTGACGCCTCTCCCACACCTCATGCTTTTAATACATTGCTCCAGATTAAGAAGGCATCTACACAAGTAGGGCATGTGGAAGCAATCTGTAATCGCTTTAAAAAAAAAAAAAAAAAAAAAAAAACCCATGATCAGTAGGGAAAAAAGAGAAATTACCTCTATGTAAGCACAATCTCCAAGATCGAAGATACAATCGCCAATTTTAGCTTGAGAAAAGGAAAATTCAACATCCAAAATTATCTCATCTTCTTCATCTTCACTACAACCATGTATACATGTGAAAATAAAAAGCATAACCACAATAGATGAAAAAGGATCAGCTTCTCGTTACTCGGGAGCACAATGCCGAAGTTCTTAACTAGTGAGGGGGTCTAATAACATGCTCTGTGTAAAACTGTGAGCAAACATGTCGTGGGTGAATCTAGTGCTTTGAGAACATATGGGATAAGATTAAGAATAAAAATTATGTGGTCACCCGAGAAGCAGATGCGTTGATCTAAGAGATGCAACATGTAGTTGGCAAGACAAAAGAGAACGGTGGGAGTAAATCTATGACAAAAGACATTTTCTACTTTTAAGAAAAACAATGTTTGGTAACAAGGTTATATGGAACATATGCCACTACATGTTTCTACCACCTCACCAGTCAAGACTATGTGCTCTGTCCATGAAGCTCTGAAGAAAACCATAACCAAACCCTCAAAGAGATAATTTATGAACTATTTATTACTCACTTTAGCTTCAAGCTTTGTCTTTTAGTTCTTTGACTCTGCAAAACTCCAACACAGGCACAACCAGAACTAAATCATATTAAACACGATACTGTGGTGGTTTTTAACTAAAAACTAAAGAAACCCTACAACAGAGTGTAATCTATTCAAATCACCAGGTGGCTTCACAAATACAAGTTTAATAGTCAAGAGTGAAAAATTATTCTACCAATATAAAATGAAATAAAAATTGCATGGATAGACATTAATTAATACACGTGCACTCATTTGCATACATATAAAGTGCACTTATTTATATACATATTTATCATGGATATCATGTATTTATTTACATGCTTATAAAATCTGAATATAAGTGCAGATGAGGCCTTCACTACAAGAGGTTGAGTGGCTAAATATGCATCTTTGTGGAGATTCCCAAAGGAATCAAATTCTTTCTAGCACAAGGTGATAAGAAGCAAGTATGGGTCGCAGGATAATGGGTGGGATGCAAATCCTTCACTGCGTGTTTCAAGTCATAGCCCTTGGAAAGATATTTCGTCTGGTCTTCAATCGTTCCTAGAGTGCTGCAAGTTTAAGGTGGGTAACTGGGAGAGGGTGAGGTTTTGGGAGGATGGTTGGTTGGAAGGTGGACCATTGAAAGAGCAATATATTATTCTTGTTATCGAGAATGCACAACCAGAGCATTTCAAGTTTTGTGGATTTTTCTCTTCATTCTTTAAGCTGGAATTTTGATTTCAGAAGAAATTTGAATGAGTTGGAGATAGAAGAGGCAGCTAGGTTATTACAGAAGGTGGAAAATGTTCATTTGATTCAATCAAGAGCGAATAACAGAAGGTGGAAACTAGACTTATCAGGATTGTTCACTTGCAAATCCTATAGCTCTTTCTTGAGCAACAATGGAACTGTGCAACATTTTCCACCCTTTTCTCATATTTCAAAGTCAAAAGCTCTGCCAAAGGTCAAAGTTTTTGTGTGGTTAGTGGCTACTAGGAAGGTCAACACTTGTGATCAAGTTCAAAGGCGAAGGCCTTTTATTTGTAATTCTCCCCATCGGAACAGTTTGTGTAAATCTGAGGAGGAGAGTGTAAATCATATTTTTCTCCATTGTTCTTACTCAATACAGTTGTGGTGGAAATTGGTTCAGGAAGTTAAAGTTAGTTGGGTCATTCCAAAGGGTTGTTTCGAGTTTCTAAGCACCAATTTTGAGGCTTTAGGAAAGGGGAGGAAAGCTAAAGCTTTGTGGGGCTGTTTGGTGTTGGCAGTTTGCTGGAACATTTGGTTGGAACGCAACAGAAGAGTTCTTGAGGATTATAATGGAGTGGGGGTAGCAGAACTATGGGGTAAAGTAAGATACTGGGCATCAGTTTCGAATGAGTTCAAGGATTATTCTCTTTCTTATGTAGTGTAGGATATGTTAACAGCCTTAAAATGATTTTGGTTGAGGTTATGTTCTTTTAATCAGATATATTTAAGAGGTCTTAGTTAGCTTTGCTACATGGTGGATTTCTTATCCACTATTTTGTAATTCTTGTTTTTATATTAATAAATTGTTATCATTTCTTCTCAAAAAAAAAAAAAAAACATCTTTTACTGCTTTAGTTTCCCACCGACAATAAGAGAAAAACATATGGAGAACTTTTTATGATGTGTCAACTTTAATCATTTTTAATTGGAGTTTTTTTAAGATGGTGTTAGAATATGAAAACAAATAGTTTACACCTTGTCAGGCTTTGATCCAGCTGAGGCTATTTGGGAAGCTACTGTTCGGATTGAAATGTGAGCGAAATAGTGGAGTGGTCCAAGTAGGTAAAGAGTCTTCCTTGCAAACCCACTGTAATTTCTGAAACTCAAACTCTAGTTGGATTTCCTTTTAAATTTCTACACTTTAACGTTGATATTGAACGCATAGTTGTGATGAATGGATGGTTGAATGCATATATATTGAGATGAATGGATGAATGTATGAATCCACGAGTAGTTGAGATTAGACCGAATCAGTTTCGAATGCAGCCTGCAATTACAAATCAAAAACCTAATTAGATAAGTAAAGAAAAATAACAAGAATTAAAAATTGCAATAAATTTTTTTTTTCAATTTTCTGATTTTTTTTTTTTTTTTGTGATTTTTGTAATTAGGAATAAAAGCAGGAAAACAAAATAAACGAAATAAAAAGAAAAGAGTTTGAAAAATTGGGTTGCCTCCTAATAAACGTTTTAGTTAATGTATATAGTTAGATGGAGTGAAAGGTTGGTGATCACGCCACTTGTTCTTGTAGAATGAACCAGTCCTTAACAGCATCATAGGGCAATATTGTTGAATTATAAGTGTTGAGCTGAAAAGTTTAGAATAAGATTTCTTAAATTGGTGTATCCACTTGTGCAAAATAATGCCAAGTGTAAAGTTCTGTTTTGTAAAAGGCCATGAGTGCCATGTGTTGGTTGATCCATGTAATTAGATAGATGAGTGACTAAGATGAAATGTAGTGTAAGTGTGGTCCCAAGTTAAGGCCATCAGTTAATGTAAAAGCAGAGTTAGTGCTCTTTTTCGAAATAGAGAAAATATTCCTCTGCAATTTTTGCAAAAGAGAAGAAGAAAAACCATTCGGTTTCAGTTTTGTTCATCTTTGTTTTCTGTCAAGCTCTCTCTAGTTCAAAACCCATTGAATTCATTTACACTAACATGGCCTCAAAGCCAGGTTCGATCATCTAAGCCTGGGCGTAAATCTGTGAACTCATTGAGCTGATTTGAAGCTTGGTGAAAGTCGCCGGAGACTCATTATCATCTGAGAAGAGAAATCAATCCAGTCAGACCAAAGATGTTTGGATCTGGAAGCTCAGAAATGAGAACTCCAATTTTCTCCAGTGAGAACTACGAGTTCTGGAGAATCAAGATGGTGACAATCTTCAAATCACATGGGTTGTGGAATATGGTTGAGAAGGGAGTTAAAACGTCCGATTCGAAGAAGAAGAAGCCTGAAGGATCATCGGAGGATGATGTAGATGAAGAAATGCCCGCTGTGTTGATACAAGACGCAAAGGCTTTGGGAATCATTCAGAATGCAGTCTCGGATCAAATCTTCCCTCGAATCGCCATTACCGAATCAACAAAGATGGCATGGGATTTGTTGTATAGAGAGTATCACGGTGGTGATCAGGTACGATCTGTGAAATTACAAAATCTGAGACGTGAATTTGAGTATGCTAGAATGCGTGATGATGAAACTCTGTCTGGGTATCTTACTAGGCTAAATGATTTGATAAATCAGATGAAAACATTTGGGGAAATTTTGTCTATTGAAAGACTTGTGCAGAAAGTTCTGATTAGCCTTAGTAAATCATATGATCCCATATGTCTTGTCATTGAGAATACAAAATGTTTGGAGACTGTAGAATTGCAGGAGGTAGTTGCAATTTTAAAGAGTCAAGAACAACAGTTTGATTTGCATACGGTTGATGCAACTGAGAGAGCATTCTCTTCACTCTCTGTGAATCCAAAGGAACAAAACAAGAGTGGTGTTCATTCTGGTTCGTCTAGATTTCAGAGAAATTGGAATTCTAAAGGCAAGAAATGGGAATCAAAACCCAAATTTCAGCAGAAATCTCCTCTGCACAATTATCAGAATGTAAATGCATCTCAGTCAATGGGTCAAGAGGTTGCAAAGCCTCAGTGCAAGGTGTGTTCTAAATATGATTTTGGTGAGTGTAGATACAAAGGGAAACCAAAATGCTTCAACTGTGATAAATTTGGGCATTGGGCTAAAGAGTGTACTGTAGGCAAATCAGTGCAAAAGGAAAATAATGCAAATCAATTGGAGATGACAGGGAATCTGTTTTATGCAAACAACACAGTCACAGAACCAAAGGTGAATGGAGAGTGATATATGGATAGTGGCTGTAGCAATCACATGACAGGAAATGTAGATTTGCTTGTTGAGGTCAGAACCAATGTAGCTAGCAAAGTTCAAATGCCGACTGGAGATCTTGTGAATGTTGCAGGAATGGGATCTTTGGTTATTGATACAAATAAAGGGAGAAAGTATGTTAGAGAAGTAATGTATCTTCCCGGTTTAAAGGAGAACTTACTCAGTGTTGGTCAAATGGATGAGCATGGATATTTCTTGGTGTTTGGAGGTGGAATGTGCAGTGTGTATGATGTCCATCACTGGAATGCTTGGTTATGAGAGTGAAAAAGAAAGTGAATAGGTGTTATCAGCTGACTTTGTTCTCTGAGAATCAAATGGTGTTGAAAGCTAGTGTCACTCACTCTACTGAGACTTGGCACATGAGACTTGGACATTTAAACTTTGGTGGTCTCAAACAATTGAGAGACAAGGAAATGGTACATGGTTTGCCACAACTTGCAGACTACAATGGAGTCTGTGAAGGTTGCCAATTTGGTAAACAACACAGAGAAGAATTCCCAAGAAATCAAGTGTACAGAGCAACTGCTCCACTTGAACTGATTCATGTTGATTTGTGTGGACCTATGAAGACTGAGTCAATTGCTGGAAATAAGTATTTCGTGCTGCTGATAAATGATTTTACCAGAATGATTTGGGTCTATTTCTTGAGATATAAGTCTGATGCATTCAACAGTTTTAAGAAATTCAAAGCTATGGCAGAATTACAAAGTGGTTTCAAGATTAAGACTATGAGAAGTGATAGAGGAGGGGAGTTCAAGTCATCAGAATTTGATCAGTTCTGTGAAAAGGAAGGAATACAAAGACAACTTACTCTTGCATATACTCTACAACAAAATGGAGTAGTGGAGAGGAAGAACAGAACCGTGATTGAAATGGCGAAATCTATGTTGCATGAGAAGAGGATGCCATATTTTCTCTGGGCAGAAGCAGTGCATACATCTGTATACATCCTAAATCGATGTCCCACAAAGGCGTTGAACAACATCACACCTTTTGAAGCTTATTCCGGTAGAAAACCAGGAATAACCCATCTAAGAGTATTTAGATCTCTATGTTATGTTCATGTTCCAAGTGAACAGAGACATAAACTTGAACCTAAAAGCTTCAAAGGAGTATTTGTGGGATATGCAATTTGTGAAAAGGGGTATAGGGTATTTGATCCACTATCCAAGAAATTATTCTTGTCAAGAGACATTGTATTTGATGAAGAAGCTGCCTGGAATTGGGAAGAGAACTCAGGGTCAACATCTCTTAATACTGGAAGTTTTATTCATAGTGACATAAGTACAGAGAGCAGTGATAGAATGGTGTTGTCTCCTACATCATCTATATTATCTCCATCTAGGAGAGCTCTTAATATTGAAGACTCTGAAATTCAATCCAAGTCACCTATCTTAGGTGAATCTACAAGCATGTCAAACTTAAGTGAAGGACACAATCAAGCATTTGATCATACACCACTGAAGTGGAGGAATCTGAATGAAGTGTTGGCTCAATGCAATATGTGTATCATGGAACCAGAGAAGTATGAGGATGCCAAACAAGATGAGTCTTGGTTAAAAGCTATGGAGGATGAGTTGTTTATGATTGAAAAGAAGGGCACCTGGAAGCTTGTTGACAGACCAACTGAAAAACCTGTTATAAGGGTTAAATGGGTTTACAAAACCAAGTTAAATCTTGATGGCTCAGTGTTGAAAAATAAAGCAAGGCTGGTTGCAGAAGGCTATGCACAAAAGCCTGGTTTGGACTACAGTGAGACTTATGCATCGGTTGCTAGGTTGGATACCATTATAACTTTAATAGCTTTGGCTGCACAAAAGAGCTGGAAATTGTATCAATTAGATGTGAAATCGGCCTTCTTGAATGGAGTTCTACAAGAAGAGGTCTATGTTGAGCAGCCTGAAGGTTTTGTAGTAAAAGGCAAGGAAGAAAAGGTGTACAAACTTCATAAGGCCCTCTATGGTCTAAAACAAGCTTCGAGAGCTTGGTATGGAGAGATTGATAACTATTTCTCACAGTGTGGTTTCAAGAAAAGCTTGAGTGAACCAACCCTGTATATAAAAGCAAGGGGAGAAGATATCCTGATTGTCTCTATCTATGTAGATGATATAGTCTACACTGGTAGTTGCAAACCAATGCTAGAAGAGTTCAAAGAAGATATGAAAATGAAGTATGAAATGACAGATTTAGGACTTCTTCATCACTTCCTTGGGATGAGAGTGATTCAAACAGATTCCAGCATCTTCATTCATCAGAAGAAGTATGCAAGCTCTTTACTAAGTAAATTTGGTTTAAATGAAGCAAAGACTGTCACAACTCCTCTTGTAGCTACTGAGAAATTATCTAAAGATGATGGAAGTGGATCTGCGAGTGATGAAATGTATAGGAGCATTGTGGGAAGCCTTCTATATCTCACTGCTACAAGGCCGAATATAATGTATGCAGCTAGTTTATTGGCAAGATACATACATTGTCTTACCAATAGACACTATGGAACTGCAAAGAGAGTACTCAGATACATCAAGGGAAGTCTGGATTATGGCTTGGAGTATGTGAAAGGAAGAAAAGCTTGTTTAATTGGCTTTTGTGATAGTGATTGGGGTGGTTCATTGGAAGACAGCAAAAGCACATCAGGATATGCGTTCTCATTTGGTAGTGGTGTGTTTTCCTGGGCTTCGGTCAAACAAAACTGTGTTGCACTCTCAACTACAGAGGCTGAATATATAAATGCATCAGAAGCCATAGCTCAAGCAATATGGCTGAGGTTTGTTTTGGAAGATTTTGGAGAATTACAAACTGTAGCTACTCCTCTTCACTGTGATAACACATCTGCCATTGCTATCACAAAGAATTATGTGTTCCATCAAAAGACCAAGCACATTGATAGAAGGTATCACTTTATTAAGGATGCACTGCAGGAATGAATCATTGATTTGGTGTATTGTCCCACTGAAAAGCAGGTAGCAGATATTTTCACAAAACCTTTGGCTAAAGATCGTTTCAACTATCTCAAGGATATGCTTGGTGTGAAATCAGCTGAAAACTTAAAGGGGAGTGTTGAATTATAAGTGTTGAGCTGAAAAGTTTAGAATAAGATTTCTTAAATTGGTGTATCCACTTGTGCAAAATAATGCCAAGTGTAAAGTTCTATTTTGTAAAAGGCCATGAGTGCCATGTGTTGGTTGATCCATGTAATTAGATAGATGAGTGACTACGATGAAATGTAGTGTATGTGTGGCCCCAAGTTAAGGCCATCAGTTAATGTAAAAGCAGAGTTAGTGCTCTTTTTCGAAATAGAGAAAATATTCCTCTGCAATTTTTGCAAGAGAGAAGAAGAAAAACCATTCGGTTTCAGTTTTGTTCATCTTTGTTTTTTGTCAAGCTCTCTCTAGTTCAAAACCCATTGAATTCATTTACACTAACAAATATTAGGTAATGAGTGACTTGATGTCTATTGACCGAGTGTTTAAATGTTGTGGTCAAGTCCTTAATGTTTGCCATTCTATGCGTAAGAATTCCTTTAATCAAACTGAGTCCCTTCAAGTAAGGCTTACTTCTCCCTCGAATTGACTTCCATCCTGTATTTGGCAGAATTTCTCTACGAAGAATTTGGCCGTCAGGAAAAATTTTCGTTGTCCACTTGTTAATATTGGCCGCGTTGCAAGACTCGCCTTGAATTTCCTCAAGGTTGATAGGCCTTGCAGATTTATACGTGGTGGGAACATTCCCCTCCAAAACATCAACTCTCGTGCATGTTTGCAGCCTTTGTGGTAAAAGTAGTGGTGGCACATAAACATGGTTTATAACAGGTTCAGGGGAAAGTTCAGGGTCAACTAGCGTTATTTCCTTCGTTGGGCATGTGTCATTGGCAGGTGGCTCTTCTGTTCTTGCGACAATCTCCTCTTGATCTTTATAGCTATAACCACAGTTTAATGTTTGAATCTAAAATCCTTGATGGGTTCTTTCAATGTACAATTCAGATGATTCCAACAATATAGATATTTTGTTCTCCACCAAAAGCTCTTGTGGCACATCAGGCTGCTCAAAATACTGCTGATTACCTGCCCACATAAAATAAAGGTGCTTTTTCAAACCTAGATTGTAAAACTCTGAATAAGGATCGTTCCAATGCCTTTTTGAGTTGTTTCTCATATTGGTATGCTTCTCAACAAATTCAGGGAAATATTCACTTTTGGGGCATTGCAAAATATCGTGGGCCTTCAAACAGCAAAGGGCACAAACTGCAGGTTTAAATCCATAAAAGCCCTTTTCTGCTAAAGAAACCCACAAAGGCAAATCTCCAGCCGGTGGTAGCTCCATCATTGAATTGCTTTCAAAATTAACAAACCTACAAAAAAAAAAATGAAAATAAAATCAACAACTAAATAAAAAGATATATGTACAAATAATTAAAACAGAATATGATAAACACAAATATTTAAAACAATCTCCGGCGACGGTGCCAATTTCTTGATAGGAATTTTTACCACCTGCAAAAGTAGGGATAAAAACACTTTAAAATACTTGTAAGAGTACGAGGTTATCGTAGTATAGCAGCTCAAGTAAGATCGTTTTCCACATGGATTGAATGAATAATTTATGTAAATACCAAATCTTAATTAATTATTTGAAAATAAAGTTTGGAAGAGGTTTATTTTATAACCTAAAATATTAAAAACGAATTTTAAATTAAAACAATTAAAGAAACCAATTTGAAAGGGAACAATCTTAGAAAATAATGATAAAAGGACACTAGGGTTCCGTCATCATCTTAACAATCTTATGTAGTTTTACCAATTACTTATGAATTACACATGCAACTTTGAAGGTTAGGTTTTCCTTATGCATATTCTACTTGTGGCATTCAAGTTAGAACGTATATCAAACATGCAATCCGTTTGTGTCATTCAGATCAAATATAAACATACATGACTCATTACGCTTTGTGAAAACCC